GTTTCTATATAAACTCCACTGAACAGAAGCTCTCCTCCCTGTCAGAACCAGCTATACTGAGGAGCCCCACCCTATGAACATTCAAGCTTTTTTATTTATTCATATTTATATCAAAAGCTCAAGGAATTCCCAAGTTATCAAAGCAAAGTCCAGAGCTTCTTAACTTCTCTTGAATCCCAGTTCTATGCAGTTTATGGTTGTTTATAGTCTTTAGTCACACTAGAAAGTGTCTTTTTCTAGGATTTGTTCTCTGCCGGCAAACATCAGACCTCATTACTGACCGGCTCTGATTCCTGGTTGAAAGTTGAAAGTGTTTAATAGTTTTTTCTAATCCCAGGTCTCGCCTGAAACTCTCCAGTAAAAACCTCCCCTTCATGAACGGCTCAGACTTCCGGCCTCCTGTGCTGTTTGCTTGGGATCAGAGCGGCACGGTGCGTGAACTCCATCACAGCTCCGCTTCTGCAGCAAAATCTTTGTGTTGTTATTTCTCGTGCTCCTGCAGGGGAATGGAAATGACAGATTCATTTTATTTGCCAGTCAGAATAACAAAGCTGGGATTTGTTGCTCCTTTATTTCCTTCTGTTTCTTGACAACAGGTGTTTAATGGCATGTCTCTGGTGGATTTACAAGCTTTTGTTAGCGAGGAGGAAAAGTTGTCTTTAAAGGAGGCAGAGCGGGAGGAGAGTCCAGAGTCGGGCCAGCGTGGAGGCCTCCAGCATCAAAGTGTGAGAGGAAAGCAGAAGGAGGAAGGCGGTAAGAAAGCATTCAAATCTTTTTTTGTTTCATTCTTCTTTAAAATCAACTATAAGGCTCTAGGCTTCCCCATTACGATGCTGTCAAAACATTCGTCCAGGTAGCTCTCCAGGCTCGTCAAGGTCTCCTCGTCCAGTTTGTTTCCGCCTAAAATATGGGACAATTGTTCAAAATATGTTTAAGCCTAAGTTTGTTTAACTGTAACGTTGTTATAATTATTTACCTGAGTGGTTTAGATTTGAACTACATGTATATCGCCATTTTACATACGCACAGCTCTCGCAAGCTCTCAGCCTCTCATTCCGCCCTCTCTATAAGGCTCTGATCTACTTCACTGCTAAAAAACTAAAATCTCAACTCGTTTTCTCTTGAATTGAGGAGGTAAGTGAGACACTTTGCCAAAGGATCAAGACAATTTACATTTAAAATAAAAAAAAAAAAACAATTTCATGTCTTATTTCAAGTGCATATTATCTAATGATCTTATTTTAAGAGTAAAAATACTAATTCTATTAGCAATTATTCTTATTTACCTGCTCAAATTAAGGCTAAATACACTTAATGTTAATACATTTCTAGATGTTTTTGCAGTGTAAGATCCCCCACTGCAAAAACGATCTAGAAATAAGTAAAAATTTCTTAAATTAAGTGTATTCACCCTTATTTGAGTAGGTAAATGAGATAGTTTGCCAATGGAATGAGTAATTTTACTCTTAAAATAAGATAATTAGATAATATGCACTTGAAATAAGACAATGCAATTGGGTTTTCTTATTTTAAGTGTAAATGGTCTTGTTCCAGTGGCAAAATGTCTCTTTTACCTCCTCAATTCAAGAACAAATGCACTTATTTTAAGGAAAAACTACTTATCTTGATTCTGATTTTTTGCAGTGTAAAGAGTTGCGCAGGCATTTAGCGGTAATTCTGATCTAATCCCACATTTACACTACATCCAGCTCCATGCAGCCATTATAATCAATGAGATTTAACTGCCTCGGCAGGGAAGAGGGGAACGTTTTCTAAATAACTCACTAAGGAAAACTATATTAAAACTTTGCCATATATAGACGTGTATTTATATGTGCGTATATTAGCAATTAGCTTAGTTACTGGGCTTTATGTAATAACGTTACGACTGTTTTACAAGATTAATTATTTTAGTTTTTTAGGGGGGTGTTTTTCACTATTGTGGGGGTGCCAGTCAGGTATCCTTCCTGACAAGTGGGATAAATAAACACAAGGACCATTCACTTCTGTGTGTAGACCCTTACAAACAATGAAGGGCAATTTTTTTCACAAATAGACCAACAACAAAAAATTAGGCTTCACAGTTATTGTATTTGAGGAGAAAATATATATATATCGCCATAAAAAAATAAACGCAAATCCCTTCCCCACAAAATAAATGTTCATTTTTTTCCTCCAAAGAAAAAGGGCTCCAACATACCGTATTTTCACGACCATAAGGCGCACCGTACTAAAAGGCGCAGTCTCAGTCATGTGTGCCATTACTGTATTTAACACACACATAAGGCGCACCGGATTATAGAGCGCGGGTTTTATATATAGGTACATGTCCTCTACTACGTTTAAATACCTCTACTGCGTATTTAAAAATAGAGCGGGAGCAAAACTTGGTATGTTTGTGCTTTATTCATGTATTTATTACAAAATATTAATCAAACCTGGGAGCTGGCCGTGAGACAGACACATCGCTGATGACACAGAGTGCTGTGATCGCTCCTCTGAAACAGTTTATTAACGCATAAATTAAATTAAAATGCAGAAATCTGCCGGCAGAATATGTTTGCTTTTTCTTGGCCGGTCCTTGGCTGGTCCTTGGCTGGCCCTTGGTTGGTTCTTGGCTGGCCCTTGGTTGGTCCTTGGCAGGCCCTTGTCTGGCCCTTGGCCAATCCTTGGCTGGTCCTTGGCTGGTCCTTGGCAGGCCCTTGTCTGGCCCTTGGCCAATCCTTGGCTGGTCCTTGGCAGGCCCTTGTCTGGCCCTTGGCCAATCCTTGGCTGGCCCTTGGTTGGTTCTTGGCTGGCCCTTGGTTGGTTCTTGGCTGGCCCTTGGTTGGTTCTTGGCT